AAGGTGTAGCCTAGAAAAAAGGAGAGGAGTTGGGGTGAGCAATTGAAATGGTAAACTGTGAGGGGTTTTTGTGATGAAGGTTAGGATTTCAAAGAGGAATGAATGGTTATGGCTAGGATTGAAGTAGCGGCAAAAGGGTGAGGATCATGCACTGAGGGAGAGAGTTGGGAGAGAGGATTACAGAGGAGAAGTGAGGTTGGGTGGCAAATGAAGAGTGGCTGCTGGAGGGTGCCAGAGGAAGGAGATGGCAAAGTGGAATCCAAAGAAAGAGAGATATGATACATAGGAATTAAAGTAGTGCGGTCCAAAAAAATATAACATGGGCAAATAATAGCAGCATTTTTTAGAAAAGCATAACACCTTGTAATTAAAATCGATTGCTCGTGGTTTAGTATTTTATTTTTTTTCTAAATATCATTTATTTTAAAATTTTAATTTTTTTTATTGAATTGTTTTTAACACAGCATGTGCTCCCTTTTTTTTCAAATTTTTGTTTCCAAATATTGAATCATGTCACAAAATTCATGTCCTTCAAAATTCAAGATTAATTGAGAATGAATTAGGACAATAATACATAAATTTAACAACAAAGAATCATTAATCCGTAGTTTAACACAATACTATTACATCAATAGATTATTAAACAAATGCATGAACAACCCATCAAATAATATCAAAATATTGTACCCAAAATTAATCAATCTAGCATTATTGGGTCTTAGAAGGTGCCTTCCTAGTTGCTATACGAGGAAATTATATTTATAGTCATTTAAAGATTAATAAGTTGGGCAATAGGGGTGTTTACATGCATGCAACTCTCAAAATTATTTTATTTTATTTTTATTGTCTATTAAACCAACTATTTCTTTGTGGCTATTCCTTGAGACTCGTTCTGTCCTCCTCCTTTGTCTTCTTCGTCCTCTCTCTCTCTCTCTCTCTCTCCTCTGACATTTCGATTGTGCGAAGCTCCTGCAATCTATCCTTTGATGGCATCTGTAAGTTTTTTTTTTAATCTCTCTCCATTTCAAATTAACATTGTTTAATTAGTTTATATCAAATCAAAATTTGTCTATGGTGGTTAGACGGGTGCATCAGAATTTGGTTGTATAATAGAATGTAAGTTACAGATCAGTTTGCTATGATATAGATAACTTTGCTTCCCAATTATATCATGATAATCCATTTTACTACTTTTGAAAACTGCTATAGCCAGGACTTTCTTGGTCAATACCAGTTTTTATTTTTGTTGATTAATGCATTTGTGTTCTTGATACTGCTTCCTTTGCAATCATTTAATGTAGAGGTTTTGATGATGAAATGAGAGCAGTGGTTGCAAGAAATCTGGAAGGCAGGCAAATTAATTTGCATCCCAGGACAAATCTGACAGAGGTTTCATGAGAAACAGGCACATTAAGTTAACACATTTACTTTGATCTGTGAAGTAACTTGACAATTATCGTTGTGTTAAATGTTTGATTTTTGGTAGTTCTACCAAGATTTGGCAAATTCAGAGAAGGCTCTTGAATGCCTCCAACGGGTCCTGCAAATTGATGGAAGGTATTATGTTGTGGATACATTGTTTTCTTTATCTTTTGGTTTACGAAGATTTTGTGGTGCTTGATTCCCGATGTGATGTCCATTCTCTTCACTTACGTTGGAGATACTTGAGAGTCTTTCTTCTTTAATAGGTTCACCAAAGCAAATTACCTACTTCTCCATGGGATGGGAGAGCACAGGTAACCTGTCCATCAACTTAGTTTTTCTTTTTTTCATCCTTTTCTTTAAGAGTATGTCCAAATCACTAATTTAATGCAACCACCAATGAGTTAACTGAATAGTCTTTATGATGTTATTGACCATCCATATAAACAGCATTGTTTGGTGCTTTTTGCCTCTTATGTGCTATACAAATTCTTATACCAGTTTCACATTTTACCCTATGCACAAGTCTCCCTTGTGTCTTTATCTCGTTTTTTCATTCATTCCATTCCTATCCCTAATTATTGGGTGTTAGGAGGGGTAGATTGGGTCTGAACTTAAATTTACATGTAACATTACAACCTATTGCTTTTATTGTTGCCCTTTGTAATAATCAATGAGAGCATTAATGCTATTGCTTAATATAGAAACATAAACTGCTTTCATTTAACTTTTCTACGTTTTAGTTTCTACTTTCTAGTCTTCCCCGTCATATTAATGGTAATAAAGATAATCCAAATGCCTAATCATGTCCTTTTTCCTTCACCTCTTCTTTTTTCACTTCTCTGTGATTTTATGTTTTTTTTACACGTTTATCTAAACTCTATACTAAACCATTGGAACAACTTAGCTCAGCTAACTCTAATCCTTAAGGTTTGTTGATGTCTATTGTTTTTATGTTTCTGTTTGGTCAGAGCATTTTCATGTGGAAACTCCCATCTTCTGCACAAATATATTGCACCTACATGGTCTTAGCTATGTTTCTAACCATCTTTTGCCTGGCCATACCGTAACTCTCACTCCTGCATTCTTATTCCTGATTGAAGGCAGTGCGACATGGTAGAGCTCTTGTGTGAGTATCATTCAACAGTAATCTGCAGAAGTCGGACTACATTATGGTAACGGCTGATCCTCTTCAAATCCTGGAAATATGTGCCTTTAAAAGCAGATATTCCTTTCTTTCATAGGATATTAGAGTGTTGAAATTGTACAAGAAAACTGCAGGAAAATGTTTACTTTTGCATGATTATGTCCTGAAAATAGCTTGCCTCTATAAACTGCAGTAATTCTAGAAATTATTCAAAACACTAGTCCAGTCATTTTTGCTTAAAAACCCTATTCTCTTTGTAGCATTTTTCTTTGCTCACCATACACATGTGCTCACCATACACGTGTGCACACATGTATAGATTGTTCTGGAAATGCGTTGGTTGTGATCTGTGTTGATTTTATGGGTTTAGTTCCTAAAATGTTGATTCCGTTGTTGGTTATTCTTTTGTGTATTCGTCAATTTCTTTTGATTGAAATGCTGTATTTGTGAGATGGGTTCAATTGATTTCATCCCCTGGCTTCTGGGTTTCTTTTACTCTACAGCAGTTAGAAGGGGAAAATTAGTACGAGGCTGTGGATTCTGATTACTGGGTCTTTTATTTATTTATTATTAATTTTATGTTTGATTTCCTTGTATTATTTTTTATCACAGAGTTGAAAATTTGTCTAAACATAGATTGTGATCCTATTCCTCTTAATTCATAAGTCTCTCTCTCTCTCTCTCTCTCTCTCAATTACTATGCAAATGCCTTTGACCTGCATTAGATGTTTGTGGAGGTACCCATCAGAACTATTCCTTCTTCTAATCTTTTATACTGACCAGATGTAATGCCCCACTATTTCTTGTAACCCCTTGTAAACTATGTTGGATGTTACTATAATGCAGCAATACTATAGTTTATGTCATGGATTTAGCGCATTCCTTAAATTTCTTCCGCATTCATTTTTTATTCCCAAATAAGTTCTAGTTTCTTATGAGCTTTCACGATTTTGTTTACTTCAAACCTTATTTGTTTTTACTCTGCTAACTGCGCTGCTTTTTTACGAAAAATGAAGGTTGAGTGTACCATACCAAAAGATGATGGCAATTTGGCTTCTTTTGTTGGGTTCAGGGTTCAGCATGACAATGCCAGAGGCCCCATGAAGGGAGGAATCAGATACCACCCAGAGGTTTGTTCATGACCTATTAACTGAAACCTTTGCTGACAGGGTAGAAATTGGGTTTCTAAGATTATACCACCCAGAGGTGATGATTATGTTTTTTCTGGATTTTAAAGATTATTTTGGGTTTCTGTTGAAATAGTTACCTGGAAACTGTAGGTTGACCCAGATGAGGTGAATGCTTTAGCACAACTAATGACGTGGAAGACCGCAGTAGCCAATATACCATACGGTGGAGCTAAAGGAGGGATAGGATGCAATCCAGGGGAATTAAGCATCTCTGAGCTAGAACGACTCACCAGAGTTTTCACCCAAAAGATACACGATCTTGTTGGAGTGCACACTGATGTTCCAGCACCTGATATGGGAACAAATCCACAGGTTTACAAAAGATCTACTTTAGTTCACAGAATTTTAATGGTTGTTTAGGTTAATAACTAATGCTGTTGAGTAGTTTCCATGTATATACTTTCTAATGTTTGCTGAAATTCTGAACTGATTTTTGATTGTTGTGTGTTTAAACAGACAATGGCATGGATATTAGATGAGTACGCAAAATTTCATGGCTACTCACCTGCTGTAGTGACTGGTAAACCTATTGTAAGTAAACATAGACTGGTCACAAAACCAGGTCTCGTAATTGTGGTTTTTCTTGTAAATATTTTGATTCTCCTAGTAACACTGATGCAGTATTTTGCATAATGGCATTAACTTTTTGATTTTTTCTTCTCATGGTTGCTGATGCTTTTGCTCTATGTTATATTAATGGTTGTTTGATGAAACCAAACTTTCGAAGTACACATATTGTGAATACAATGTATAAATAAACAAGTTTTCATTCTACATGCACTTGGGAATCGTTACAACATTATAGTTTGTTATGTTTTCACAGTACTTCCTCATTTCTGTAATTTGACAGACTCAAATTCTTTATATCAGGATCTTGGTGGATCCCTTGGTAGAGATGCCGCCACTGGAAGGGGAGTCTTATTTGCAACAGAGGCCCTGCTCAACGAGTATGGGAAGAGCATTGTTGGACAACGATTTGTTGTACAGGTGAACCTTTTATGTGACTTACTAGAATATTTGAAATTACTGTGGAGTTGTCCACACGGAACAAAATAGCATAGCGAATAATAACTAAAAAGTAGGTTCACATAAAATAACAGATGAGGTTATTATTCCAAAAAATTGCAGAATGAGTGTTGAAGAAGCACAGCAAGAATGTGCCAGGGATTTGAGGGAGGACAGTTGACAAAAGAAAGCTAAATATCTCATTTATACTCCTTTTTCTTCAATCAATTATGTTGTGATGATTGGTTCTGATCTCAGGGATTTGGGAATGTGGGTTCCTGGGCTGCTGATCTCATCAGTGAAAAGGGTGGGAAGATTGTTGCAGTAAGTGACATAACTGGAGCTGTAAAGAATAGCAAAGGACTCGACATTCTAAGCCTACTAAAGCACGTCACAGAAAATCGTGGAGTTAGAGGATTCAATGGTGGGGATGCAATAGACCCCAAATCAATATTGGTCGAAGATTGTGATATTCTCCTCCCAGCAGCCCTTGGGGGTGTGATCAACAGGTCTTTTCCTTAAACATTTGATGAGCATAATAATGTCACGGGCATGGTTTGTGAGGTTTTACATAAATTTTCGATTTGAAGGACACTTTTTTATCTGGAAAAAAATGAATTGCAGTAAACATGGACAAGGAATTACAGCAATGCACGGAGATGTCTTCACAAGTAAAGAGACGTCGAATGCTGCAGTTTGACAATGAGATTTTGGGTTCCCCTCTTTGCAATGAGGAGATATCATCTGTCTTCTTAAAATCGAAGGTTTGTGCAAGCCTATTTCCTCGTGGAAAATGTTACATGATACATCTTTTGCTGTTCTTGGGGAAAAATTCTACATAGTGGTCTTATTTTGGTTTCACACAAAAGATAATTGTTGAGATACCTGTTCTGTTGTATATTGACAATTATATGACTTCTATCTTTTGGAAGGGAAACAAATTTATCATCCACCACATATCAAGATAAATTATTTTATGATATCAACATTTTGTCAGGGGATCATTATTGGTCAATGATCATTATTGGTCAATGCAACTTCTGAACTAGTTTAGATTACATAAATATAAGTTGTCAAAATCAAGGAGAAAAAATGTTGGGTGATAAACCCAGAGGTGATGATTATGTTTTTTCTGGATTTTAAAGATTATTTTGGGTTTCTGTTGAAATAGTTACCTGGAAACTGTAGGTTGACCCAGATGAGGTGAATGCTTTAGCACAACTAATGACGTGGAAGACCGCAGTAGCCAATATACCATACGGTGGAGCTAAAGGAGGGATAGGATGCAATCCAGGGGAATTAAGCATCTCTGAGCTAGAACGACTCACCAGAGTTTTCACCCAAAAGATACACGATCTTGTTGGAGTGCACACTGATGTTCCAGCACCTGATATGGGAACAAATCCACAGGTTTACAAAAGATCTACTTTAGTTCACAGAATTTTAATGGTTGTTTAGGTTAATAACTAATGCTGTTGAGTAGTTTCCATGTATATACTTTCTAATGTTTGCTGAAATTCTGAACTGATTTTTGATTGTTGTGTGTTTAAACAGACAATGGCATGGATATTAGATGAGTACGCAAAATTTCATGGCTACTCACCTGCTGTAGTGACTGGTAAACCTATTGTAAGTAAACATAGACTGGTCACAAAACCAGGTCTCGTAATTGTGGTTTTTCTTGTAAATATTTTGATTCTCCTAGTAACACTGATGCAGTATTTTGCAAAATGGCATTAACTTTTTGATTTTTTCTTCTCATGGTTGCTGATGCTTTTGCTCTATGTTATATTAATGGCTGTTTGATGAAACCAAACTTTCAAAGTACACATATTGTGAATACAATGTATAAATAAAAAAGTTTTCATTCTACATGCACTTGGGAATCGTTACAACATTATAGTTTGTTATGTTTTCACAGTACTTCCTCATTTCTGTAATTTGACAGACTCAAATTCTTTATATCAGGATCTTGGTGGATCCCTTGGTAGAGATGCCGCCACTGGAAGGGGAGTCTTATTTGCAACAGAGGCCCTGCTCAACGAGTATGGGAAGAGCATTGCTGGACAACGATTTGTTGTACAGGTGAACCTTTTATGTGACTTACTAGAATATTTGAAATTACTGTGGAGTAGTCCACACGGAACAAAATAGCATAGCGAATAATAACTAAAGAGTAGGTTCACATAAAATAACAGATGAGGTTATTATTCCAAAAAATTGCAGAATGAGTGTTGAAGAAGCACAGCACGAATGTGCCAGGGATTTGAGGGAGGACAGTTGACAAAAGAAAGCTAAATATCTCATTTATACTCCTTTTTCTTCAATCAATTATGTTGTGATGATTGGTTCTGATCTCAGGGATTTGGGAATGTGGGTTCCTGGGCTGCTGATCTCATCAGTGAAAAGGGTGGGAAGATTGTTGCAGTAAGTGACATAAGCGGAGCTGTAAAGAACAGCAAAGGACTCGACATTCCAAGCCTACTAAAGCACGTTACAGAAAATCGTGGAGTTAGAGGATTCAATGGTGCGGATGCAATAGACCCCAAATCAATATTGGTCGAAGATTGTGATATTCTCCTCCCAGCAGCCCTTGGGGGTGTGATCAACAGGTCTTTTCCTTAAACATCTGATGAGCATAATAATGTCACGGGCATGGTTTGTGAGGTTTTACATAAATTTTCTTTTGGTATATAATTGAAGGGAAAATGCCAACGATATCAAAGCCAAAATCATGCTCAATTTTTCTTTGCTTTGGTTTACTAAATTTCATTTTATGATAAAGGTGAAGGATTATGATGCATAAAATTACAAATTATATGAAGAAGTTGGAGAAGGTGTCAGCGCCGCTGTTCACCGGGCTCTCTGCATTCCTTTGTGTTGACTGGGATTTGGGAATGTATCCTGCTCAAAATTGTCTTTGTTGTACATGAACCTATTCTGCAGTGTAATGATGTGTAATATGCTTGACTATGCCATTGCATCTGCATGAGCAAGCAAATGACTTAACCTATTTTTTCTTTTTATTTTTTGATTGTGTTTGTTGTTTGATTTTGGTTCAGACACAATCATGTAATGTTTATTTAGTCAATATATTGAAGTAGCTGTAAAATTTTATTCATATTATTGTTATTTTTCAGCTTTATTACAGGTATGTTTTTTAGTTAAATATAACAGATTCAGAACAAATTTTTTTTAAAAAAAAGAGCTATAACGGCGTTTTTTCAAAACGCCACTACAGTGCCAATGGACATTTTTTTTAAAAAAAAAAAATCTATCACGGCGTTTTAAAAACGTCGCTAAATATTGGATGACGTCATTTTATCATTATTTATCGCATTTAGCGACGTTTTTAAAAACGCCGCCTATACTAATTTTACGACGTTTTTAAAGCGTCATAAACTTATAGCGACGGCCGCGTCCTCGACGTTTGGTGATAAGCATCACTAAAGGAATTAGCGGCGTTTTTCATACATATAGCGGCATTTTTAAAATGCCGCTAAAAGTCATTTTTCCAGCAGTGGCACTACCCATGCACACACACCATTCACACTACACATGCACACACGGCAAACCCAGCCACAGCTACACACACACACAGACAACACACAGCTCTCTCTCACACTTAAAACACACATGCATACATATTGATACACATTCACACACCCAAGAGGGACACCCAGCAGATGCATACACGCTGAACACATACACACACAAGCTCCACCTCCCTCCCTCTCGGCATGCACACCACCACCACCACTACCATGCATATACACACACCAAACCTAGCTCTCTTCTCTCTCTAGATTCCTAGGCTTCTCTCTCTCTAAGACACACCCAGCGCACAACACACACACAGCACAATCAGAGCTACACACACACACAGCACAATCAGAGCTACACACACACACTGCCATCTCATTCTCTCTCTCTCGGCAAACCCACAACACACATGCATTAAGACTCACACAGGGCCATACTCTCATTCATACACAAGAGACCCAGCCCATTCAACTCGGCTGCTTCATGTTCCTTCCACAGTCTTCTCAGGCCGAACCTTAAACCCATCCAACACACCAAACCGTGGTCTCTCTCTCTAGCTGGCTCAAAACCAACCCATCTCCAGCTCTCTCTCTATCTCGTGCATGAACCCATCTCGTGGTAGTACTCCAGTCCACCACAGTTTTTGTGCAGGACCTCGGCCACTGTCTCAAGCACACTCATTGCAATCAACAAAAACACCACCGCGAAGCTCTCCTCCACCGCCTCCGGTCTTCGCCACAGCACCACCGACTCTGCCAAGGCCGATGCTGCAGTTTCTGGTAGAGTTTGAGTTACTTTCCTAGAGAGAGAGATGACTAGAGATATGGTGGTGAAAATGGGTCAATGGCAGAGAAGGAAGTGAAGAACAATCATGGGTGTTGCAAAGGTGGGCCCTTCCATGGATGCTTAACGTGGGTTTACTTTGGCTGAGGTTTGTACATATTATCATATGCGGGTGAGTGACAAATGGGGTAAATGGGCCCACGGTAATTTTATTAAATCATGGACTGGTATTGAGTTTGGGTACATGGGCTTGTTATATGAATTTGGGCAAATTCTTTGCTAGTGCCACGTGTTGGAATTATAAAATCATTTGAGATCATGCGTTGATGATGATGAGGTGGGGGCTTCCATTGAAGATGAATTTACATGGGCTGATTGGTCAGGGGTTGTAAAACGTTTATTTTGATTTTGAGTGTTTTGTGAGTTTTTATTTTATTTTATTATTATTCTCTCCTCTCTTCCCCATTTGGATTTGTAATATTAAAGTGTTATAATAATCCCTTACCCCGCTTCTTGCTATCCCATTCTTTAATCGCTTTCCCTAACTGTACATATGTATATATCTGACACGTCATGCATATCCCTGCTTTACATCCATGTTCCATGCATTAAGATTCGGCTAAATTTGCATCCTTATGCTTTAATTGATTATCCTATGGTTTTATGCGCTATCACATGTTTTGCAATGTTTCAAATGTCATATTTTAGAAGCCAAATCTTTAGTGCATCTCATGAGTGAATTGCATTAGGATTTTGTATATAAGATCATGCATGTTTTACTAACTTTGTTTTGTAGTTGTTCGATGGACGTCGGTCAATCTGTGAGTTTTTATGCTTTAACATCTCATTTGTGTGTGTTTTTCTTACTATGTGTTAGCATTCTACCATGAGGCTACTTGCTTACTTGATATAACTGTATGAATTCCTGTGGATGAAGACTTGTTGCTTGAATTGGAATAATTCAATAAATGTACGTTTTAAGCCCACTTTGCAGTGACAAATTCACAAACTTTAAGCCCACTTTGTCAAGTGGCAAATTCAAATCCATTTTCACAAACAAACATGAAATTGAATTGTTCCAATTTGAGCA